CCCCAAAACCCCAAAACCCCAAAACCCCAAAACCCCTTTCTATATCTTACAAATTTTATTTTTGAAAATGGAGTTAAGAAGAGCTAATGTTAATCAATCAGGAGATGTCAGTGGCCATAACAAAGTCAAACTCAGACTGAAAGACATCGCTCGGAGGAGCAAGATGAAATTTCAGAAGAATTATAGTAGAAGTAATCAAATATCCTTCATTCAATTTCCCAGCTATTCATCATGGTAACCTAACTGTATAGATCAAAATAACGAATACGAAAATCAAAGCCTTAGTGGTAGCTGACACAATGGTAAATTTGATTATAAAGTTATAGAATTTATGGAGAAATACAAGAAGCGGCTAAAATCTTTTAACTCTAACCAAAAAGTACATAATGGTACTGTTTCTGCTGATTTATTATAGAATATGAGTCTCTTAACAAACCTCAGATCAGCAAGACTCTTCATAAGAAATATTTATTGAAAAATATGAAATTTGGGAAGCCAGCTAGAAACAACTCATCAGTTATACTTAAAAGAACTAAGCAGTAGGTTTTTTAAAATTATTTTAGGCGTCATTTCGCAAGTGAAATCGATTATTCTGATGCTAAGAGCATTATCTCTCAAACTAGGCTTGGCTTGAAGCAGAAAAATAATATATTAGGCTCCGAGAAACGCATGAGAAGGAGTAATAGTGTTATTAAGAAACGTCCAGGAGGTCTTTTTGATAAAAACTTGCCAAGACTAAATCAATCCCAATTAGATCATCCTCTTGCTGATGATGAAGATTTTGTTAAGAAAAATGCTATTGATGCCCTCAAAAATATTGATAGACTGATTCGAGAAGATCTCAAATGCTCTTCATGTAAGTTCGACTTTATATAGCTATAGGCGGTGAAATTTTGGAAAAACATGAAGTTGAATTTAGTAAACAAATGCAAATTTACCAAGATGAACCAGAAACTTCTGAACAAAAGTTAATTTGTAGCAGATGTGTTTATAATATGCTGTTAAGCCAAGATATCAGGGATGGTCAGCCAAGTAGTCTGGTACTGAATATTAAGAAAAATCCAAAGCCAGTTCAGAAGTATAATAATTTAATTTATTTCATAGAGAGACTGTCCAGACTCCTCATGAAGCAAATTTTATAAAATAGGGTAAACACTGAGCGGAAGTTGCCTTCAATTAACAAAAAGATTATGGAAACCCCTAAAAAGGGTCAAGAGGATGTAAATTATTCATTGATAATTTCCAAAAAGTTAAGCCAGAAGGTATTTCTCTTTTATATTTTATAGCATGACCTCTTCGGACCACCAGAAGATTACAGTAATTACTTAATTAAATCTACTCTAGAAATGAATATCACATCGACCAACAGAGATTTATACCAGGAGATTCCGATGAGTTCTGAAAATATGTACAACCCTCTTCGTAAGAAGAAGACGGATTTGTCAAATTATATTGATGCGTTTTTCAAACTTCATTCTAAGAGTTAGACAAGTGTTAATGATCTTCTTGTTAATATGCTTCAATTGTGCAGCTGCCCTTTGGGGTTTTGGGGTTTTGGGGTTTTGGGGTTTTGGGG